AGCAGTTTATAAAGTGTTAGGATTGCCATTACACAAAACAAACTTAAAAACTGTATGGATTCCAACAGGATTGCCACACCAGTATACTGAAACCATCTTACCTGCTCTCAAAGCTGGAAGATGAGGATGAAACTGTGTTTCTCAGTGGAATATAGCAAAAGACCACCAGCCTTACATGCATGGTGTCTTGCATTCTGTGCGTCCTGGTATCACACTGGCAATTACAAAACGCAGGAAGAAGACTTCCAGCCTGACATCTTACAGGAAGAAAAAGAAGAAAGTACCCCAAAGGACATTGTTGGAAGATACCAGACAAAAACTTCAAAAGCACGAAGGATCTTATTGACACAGCAATTCAGCAGATGGATGAAATGGATCCACCAACAAACGCTTGGGATAATCTTGCTTCAGAAACACAACAGGAAAACAATGATAACCAGGCAATAAAACCAGAAATTGACCAAGACCATCACATTGACCAAGACCATCACATTCTTCATCCTAGCAACCATTTATTTCTTGATACAATCAAACTGCCCAACCCACAAAGTAATGGAAACGAAGGTCTTAGCTTAGCCATAGACTCCTTGCCATCTGTGATGCCTTTTGCGATTACAGCAGGCATGTAAGGACACTGAACCATGAACAGTACTTCAAGTTGTTATCACCCGTGGTGTTACCCACATGCAAGCTTGTGAAAGATCTGTGGTACCAAAACCAGATCCGTTGCATATTTTTGTTTCTGGAGGAGCAGGTACCTGCAAATCGCAACTTATTAAAGCATTGTACCAGACTGTTCAGATAATGCTCAGGAAAGAAGGGGAGACCTCAGATTTGCCAACAGTTTTGCTTTTAGCTCCATCTTGAACAGCTGCTTTCATTATTGACAATGCCTCACTTTTGGCCATTTGTTGAGCGTTCGCCCCTGTGAGGAAGGCTTTGGGTTCTGTCCCCTGGCCGAGACATACCAAAGTCTTTAAAAATGGTAGTTTCTACTCCTGCTTAACGCTCAGCAAATTAGGAGTGGGACGACTGGTTCGCCCGTTGTCAGTATAATGTGACCGGGTGGGGCGTCCTGCTGGGTGTCTTCGGCAGTATGTTTCAGTGAGGTAGCACTATAAAGTCGGCATCAGTTCCGCGCTATCACAAGGAGACAAACACGAACATATCGCAGCCTCCCAAAATACACACACATACACTACACGCATGCATCTTGCACACAGGGGAGGCCGTCCTTAAATGACCTTAGCTGTTAATAGGACGTTAAACAAAATCAAACAAACAAACAAAAATCACTCGGACACACTCAGTTTCACCAACAATCCAAATCCATGAAATCCCTCTTTGATGAAAAAAGAAATACACAGTTCATCATAATTGATGAAATCTCCATGGTTTCCAGTGATTTCATTATCCAGATACATAACAGACTGCATGAAATCTTTGGCGGATCACATGTGTTTGGAGGACTCTCAGTAAATGTGTTTGGAGACATGTACCAACTGCCACCGATAGGTAGATACATATTCCAGGTGCTGCCACATGATGAATATGCATCACTAGGTCCTTCTTTGTGGAGCAAATAGTGATATAAACTTCTCAGAAATGCTTAACAGAATTCTTGTTGGCAGGCATACTCCAGGGGACATAGCATCATTAAAACAAAGAAGTATGCAGGACTCTGAAACACCAGCTGATGTACCCCATGTGTTCTCAAGACATGCCAAGGTAAATGCGTTCAATGAAGACAAGCTCAACCATTTAGAGTCTGAGATAGTTAGCCTACATGCGCAGGACCGCATTCCTTTATCTATGGAAAATATGACACTTTCAGATGATGCCAGATATTTATGAGGACTGTCTTCAACTGTTAGACTGGCTGTTGGAGCTAGAATAATTGTCACCGAAAAGTTGGATGTGTTAGATGGCCTGACAAATGGATCTCACGGAAAGGTTCTCGATATGAAACGTTTGAAAACGAAACTCCACAGGAAGTGATCATCAAATTTGATGTATGAAGTGTCGGCAGAAATGCACGGATAAACACCAACTATCCTACAAATGCTGTTCCTATACTACCCGTATAAGTCACATTTTCAACTTCTACATCTAAATTGCCAGTGTCACGCAAACAATTTCCTCTACGACTCTGTTGGGCTACAACCATCCACAAAATACAGGAAGCTACTCTTGACAATATTGTCATCTCGTTTGAGGATCTTTTCCAAAAGGGACAAGCATATGTCGCCCTTAGTCGTGTTAAAACTCTAGATGGTGTTCATATTAAACACTTTCATGAGAAGAAACTCAGTGCCAGTAATACATTCAATACAGAGATGACCCGACTTTTATCTTATGCCCTCCATCCAGACCCATTTCCACTAAACCACCATCTTAATATCTCTATTGCATTGTTAAATGCGCGCTCTGGACGACTACATTTTGAAGACATTCTGAAGCGTCCCATTCTCAACTCCGTTGATCTTTTATATATAACAGAAGCAAACATGTATGAACTACCAACGGAACAACATTAAACCTTGCTTCTGCCATCTTCAACATCCTTCATGCCAGATTCTTGTGCTGACTACCTATTTCTCTGACCATTCCATTGTCTTCCTAGGGTATTGATCATATATCCACAACGTATACAGTAAAGGAAGGTAACCTCAGAATCTAGGTTTACTTAATAAGGTTATAATTATTGAAACTGACAATCATCTCAATTTCGGTTGTTTTATATCCAGGTACATTATAATCTTCATTGTCTTTTCCATACATGATACTGCCGCAAAATGTTACGGTGATGGTAATAGCATACAGAAAAAACTAATGAATATTAAAATCAACTTTAAGTGTAGTACCTTGTGTGTGTGCATGTTTCAGGGTATTAAGATCAAAGTGGTTGTAACTTTTTACAGAACACAGAAAATAATTCAACATGACAACGGGGCATTTATGTCTTACAGACATTTTCTAGTTTTTATTAGACTGGAACATACTACATTGTGACTTGCAGCTATAAACATCGACTATGGGTGTTGGTAAATGTTCTTACAAGAACATGCTAGACTGATCATACGAGTTGAGCGCGATATTATTATTTAGGAGTGCGTATAGTATTAATGAAAGACCAAATATTCTAAAGTTGACAAAACATTCTGCAAGCAAATAAATAATAAAACACAATTTTCAAAAGAAAAATACTTTTAATTAAGACAACTCAATTGATTCAGTGCATAAAGGTTGATTGATTGGTAGACGTCTGATGAACGAATTGTGAAAAGTCGATTTTTTATAGAGGAAGTTGTGCTCTCGCGACTACACATAGGCCATACCTACATCACACATAGTTACATTTTACACAAGGAGACCAACCTTAATGTCATACATGTGATCAACCATTTGCAATGATTTCAAACAAATACGTGACAGACAGATTTTACAATGTACCCTCTCCGAAACATTTATTTGATACAGTTTATGTGCAATCAATCTATGAGTATTTACATTCAGTTAATCACTGTATTTATTTCTTTTACACATTTTAACCTTTTGTTTCTGGTTTCATGTATTATTTTTTTGTGAATGTCTAGTTGTTACATTGTTGTTTGGCCCTTATTGACTCAAACTGTCAATTGGCCGTTAAACAATGCAATTACAATGTTGGTGTTTTTCTGACGGGATAGGTGTATGTAATCGTATATTGGGGTAAAATAAAGGGAAAATACATGTGATTAATGCATTTATTATTTAGTAATTATATATCTATATGGAATAAAGTCAAAATGGTATACATTTAAAGTCATACGCATCAGTAAAATACGAATTAGAACGTCATGCTTGGAGTTCTTATTGTCACAAGTTGGTGTTCAAAATATGACTATTTTCGATGTTTCTGTATGCATTTAGGTATTGGACGTATTAAGATAGAAATGCCTTCATTCCTTCCAAAGGGTCAGAAGCAGAACACGTACATTGTATACTGAAGCAAATTAATCTCGCCTTTTAACAGTAGTAAGGTTGGTTCTTGATACTGCAAATGGCCGAATAAAGCAGTGGACGACTTTGAAACATGTTTTTCTTCACAGCATTATTCCTTTTGTTGGGAACTTTGTGAAAATTGTATGTGTAATATGTAATGATTTTCGCCCAGAATGCTGAACGTTAAGCAGTGAATACCAACTACCATTTTTAAGGACTCTGAATCCAATGCCTTCCTAACCTGGGCGAACGCTCAACACTTAAGCCGAAAGTGAAGCACTATCAAACAAGGTGACACATCAAACTATCGCAGTTGTGGAGATAATGGTATGATGATTGAGAGCTGGTCCAAGTCTGAGATTGACAATGCATAAACAGCAATATTAATTATATTTATTTTTCCCAACACTAATATACTTGATAACCAGGTTTCATTGATTTGATATGTAAATCCATATCAAGTCCATTGTTCTTGAAGTTTCTTTGTTGTACTGGTAAATGCACTTTCATAGACACAATTGCAAAAACATAGCAACAGCTAGGCAGCAATGTACAAATGAATCGCATAAAACTGTTCATTGTGTTCTAAAATATCTGAAAATTATATATTCATGTCCAAATAAAACAAGCTCGTCACCAGTTCCTATGCTAAATATGCTCCTTCATATTTTCTGTTTAAAGCAGCAGTTGTTTGGCCTTCTATGCCGGGTCATCACTATTGTAAAACAAATGTTACTTAAAAAGGTATTTGACAATGGCCTAGTTTTTGCAGTCAGTTTTGTAATCTGGATCTCGGGAGTTGCAATTAACATCAAAATTATGAGGAAAGGTTCGAAACATATCATGTTCCCCCTTTACCCCCCCCCCCCTTATTTTTGCAATGGTCTCCGCCGACCTTACCTTAATGTCATGATATATCATAACGGCATAACCCAAAGGTATTTATATGAAAACCTATCGGTGATACCAACCAGAAGACAAAAATTGGCACCCATCCCTTCTCCTTATGCATGTACCTTCACAGATAACGGGCCTTCCACTGACTTCCGGTGGAAAGAACCATTTCCAGAAGTGGTCCTCGGGACATAGGTCGTCTCTAACAGACTCACATTGAATGTATTACTGCGCTTCATGTCCACGCCGCCTAATCTCTCCCTCATTACTTTCCACTTTCGCCGAACGACGTTGATAACTTCGCCATTACAGAAACAGAAAAATAACGCCACAAGCACGCCCTGTAAAGAAAAGTATTGATACATAGATAAAGGTACCATTCCCTATTTTCAAAGACGGCAATAAATCATTACATGTAGCATTGTAATGAACTACAAATCATAATAGCTAATGTTTGAAACAAAAATAAATTGAATGAAAATTAAAGTGACATAAAATACGTATGGTATACATACCTGATATGACGTAAGCACAGCGGATATGATGTCATAGATTGGTGACGGAGTGTCCGGCTGAAAGGGGATGACGAAGTACTGTAGGCCCAGTAAGGGTATTAAGATAAGTGTGGCACGTGCTGTCCGTCTAGAAAGAAATCAAGAGAAATACTATTGTATCATCTATCAATGTAAGTCAGAAGCCGTGAAACTAAGATTAATAGAATATTTTCCTACCTTGAGGGTGTGATAGAGAAATCTCCAACCCGAGGGGTGATGTTTGTTGGTTGTCTAACCCGATTCTCTGCCGAGGGTTAGACAACCAAAAAAAAAAACAAGGGTTGGAGATTTCTCTGTCACACCCTCATGGTAGGGGATGCTTGTTTCCTCCCATCTTATTATTTTAGTCACAACTCCACCGACAGTAATGTAAACAAAAACACATGTGGGGTATGAATATCGTCATTCACTTTTGATGACGTCACAATATTCGGTGACACATTTTAATGACGTCACAATTGAACACGTGCTAATCATCACGAGGCTATCTCCCCCTAGGGGGTGACAAGCTGATATTTCCCGGCCTCAACGAGAGACACACCTGTGTAGGGTAAGGGAAAAACAAGTACACCAATATAAAATATGAATCCAATAGGAGAAATGGAGGAAACTTTCTCCTGCTCTAAAAGAGAATGGGATTGAAACCAAATGCAGTGTGAAACATACTCAGGGACAAAAGAATCAATTTTGTGTCAACTGAGGTATGTGGGCTCCCTTCTTTATGGCAGATGGGTTGGGCCTATGAGGAGAAAAAGAGGAAAACATTAAACATCCTTCTCCTTTTGTCACCCCTGCAGGTGGGGGATCGGGAAAAGAATACACCTGCTGTTACCCACTGCATGTATCGTAGGAGGCGACCTATTATTTAACCCCCTGCAGAATTTGGGATTTTCTTTGGTGTCCTCTATTTGGGGACACGAAAGCGAACATAATAATTCTGCTGCGACCATTGCAATATTTGTGATATTTATCTTCATTTCTACTTCTATCCTTTTATTTCCTAACGCCTTGCTTGGCAAAACTCTACTTTTGGCCTGAATATTGAGCGTTCCGCCAGGTGAGGAAGACAATGGGTTCTGTCCCCAGGCATGGACATACCAAAGTCCTTAAAAATGGTAGTTGTTATTCCCGCAAGCACACCAATATACCCAGTATCTCCTGCATACACACATGGAGGCACGTCCTTAAATGACCTTAGCTGTTAATAGGACGTTGAACAAAGTTAAACTAAACCAAACCTTCTCCTTTTGTACCGATGAAGGGATTTGAACTAATCTTGTTCTAGAGCATCTTTTGGCAAAGGGAATTTAATATCTTTAAATTGAGGATGTGCCCCTCGGGGGCAGAGGAACGGTGCCCAATAGGGGAAATAGAGAAAAATATTTCCCCTTCTGTAGAAATGAAGAGATTTAAACCAAATGTGGTCTGAAGCATGCTTAGGGTCAAAAACTCAATTTGTATAAATTGAGACTGTGGCCCCTCCTTGGAACATTACATGGTAATTCATTTTCTTGGTGTCTTAACCACCAAAACAGATGTACATATAGTTCTTCTTGAAGCTTTGCTTCTTGAACTCCTTTGGTAAACCTGTATGGTACTCAGCAGGTTTTAAATTGAAAATTAAAATAACGGGTGAGCTATTAATACCCCTTGGCTTCTTGTTTTTTATCAGTTTACAAAATGTGTTTAAAGAAGTATTCAACTGACATTCACAATTTCTTTAAACGTTTCAGCTAAACTTTTTCTCGTTAGAGAAATCAGTAGGCAACCGTTTGATTTTACTTGTCGCAAAATATTGAAATTTATATCAAACAATTATAATAGTTATCCATACTGGCCTATTTCACTAATTGTAGAGAGCATCCACCTTTATTTTGTAATATTAGTTACACGCATTTGTATTACTATTTTAAGAAGCAGGATAGTGTAATAATATATTTCACTTGTCGTTTTCGGCTTAGGAAACAAAAATCCTGACAGGGAATATGAGCCCATGTCGACTTGGGAACACATGTCTTGTCCGCAATGCGACGCATATCGTATAGCTTCCATTTTAATAGTAAGCCGCCACCCCTGTTGATTATGCTGCTAATGTAAACGAGTCTGTAATATCCTTGTTTTTCAAGTTCAAGAATGCGAATTATATATACGCAGGTATGCATACAGTGTATTTGTAATGAGCGTCGTTAGACTATTATATTCAATCTTTTGTAAAGTGATTCAAGCACAATCTGACTTACTATTAACATATATCCTGTTCATGGGAACTAGTTTGATTGCATACTACATAATAAACATATTGCAAGAGCATATATTGAATATGTGATTTTAAAGATAAACAAATGTTTCCATTGATAACTGTACATGAATCTACCAACTGAAAACAACTGCCATTAGACTATGAATACACTATGCATACAACGATTTTCGTGCAACCAGTCAGCTAATTTCACACACAATGACCACTTCATATTACTACCCATAGACCTGTTTCTGAGAAAAAGTTATTTCCCCTTTCTCCGAGATAACGTAGTTGTCGTAATGAACATTACAAAAATCATAAATGGCGCACCATTGTACTATTATTATTATTCTTTCTAATCTAAAATAAAAAAAAAACACACGCTTATAGCATTGTCATATTAAATACCGACTTCCCACCCCCATCAGTGCCTCGTGGTCACAAACTTTTTAACAACCAACCCGTTTGGTAATCCCCGAGAACTTTGCAATGACACAGGGCACATCATCCACCAGCCTACCATCATTTACATCATTCAACGGCCGTACATTTAACTTTAAATGAGGTATATGCCTACTGCCGACGGGTGTTCGGCCGACGAGTGACCTTGATGATTACTATGGTGAACAATGATTTGAAATAGTGCAGACATCAACTTTTTCAAATATATAACATGCAGTGTTTATAATGCAAAGCAAAACAACATCCAATAAGATCAACTGTCACATGAAAGGAATATTAAGTGTTGATTATTATTAGATTCTAGATAAAAAAATCGTTTTAACAAAATCAGCTTATCGGCGGAAGAAACAGAACATTTGAAGTTTGCATTCTGGCTGTTCCTTTTTTATGGTTTTCTGTCCGATACTTACATAAAATATATCAAATTTACAAAACGTTTGGTAACTTTTTTATTGTATTTCATCGTTACGTAAATATATGAATTGAGTAGATTTTGTTCATGTACATTGCGGCAGTTTTAACATGGTATTCTGTATAATCACAGTAATTTGTTTTGAAACCGAGTATAGAGCTAAATCGACCCTGTATATTTTTAGGGTAAATCAATATGTTTTCCTCAGTATATTATTACAACATATCATATTTGCAGCAAGAGTCAAGATTTAAATACAATGCATGCACCCGATGTGCACGATTGTTTATCTTATATCATCGTGACAAATGTATTTGAAACACCACCTGGTATAGTGAGTTAAAAGTGAAATACAAAGAATATTTTCAACAACCTCTCAATTTATAATAATAATATATTACCTTTTTTATTACGATTCATTTTCCTTTGATAATTTGAGTAGACAAACAAGCACCCGTAGCTCTTAATGTAAATCTGCTTTAGATGATCAACGTTTACCTACCTTGACTGATGCGCCTCGCTGGAATTTACTGCTCGTAGCTTAGACAGCAATATCCGTAAAATGTTGAGTAAAAACAGAAAATTCACCTATAAAAGACAACCACAATGTTATAAGGATAAGAGAGTATATACTTACCAGTAACATGTACGATACCACAATGGACCCCCCTGAGTATTAGAGAGTGTGTTCTTACTAGTAATGATGATACCACGATTGTCCCCCGTGAGTATTAGAGAGTATGTTTTACCAGTAACGATACCACGATGGACCCCCATTAGGATAATAGTGTGTGTATTGACCAGTTACGATACTACGATGGACACCCGTGAGTATAAGAGAGTATGTTTTTACTAGTTACGATACAACGATGAACCCCCGTGAGTATTAGAGTGTATGTCTTTCCAGTAATGCTTTCACGATGGGCTCTGTGAAGTTTTGACTGTGCGTACTTACCACTAAGGATACCACAACAGGGCCCGTCAGGATCCAGTTCTCGTCTGCGGTAATAGACCAACACCTTTAAGTTAAACATATGCGTTACGCGTTGATTACTATGCTGTCTCATATGGCATCGTTAACTACTGCACGTAAATACATTTGAAATATTCCTATCCGGAAAGATATTGAAATATTTTTTGGTCCCAAAGAATCTTAACGATTTCTTTTTCTAAATGTGCAGTATTCATCAATTTTGAATTATTGAAATAATGGATTCAACAATAAGTTAAATTAATGGTAGCATTATATTAACAATATTTACATCAACAAACACTCTTTTTATAACTGATAAAACAGTTCCGAGATCATATCGTAGGGAGAAACCCAATTATTTTCAAAAGTGAGCAATACTGTATACATATACTAACAGAAGAAACTTGTGGAGTTAGCGACCTTTTCTAAATAAATTGAAAAAATACAAATTGTTAATCGAAAGGCTACGAACCCGTGACGTAGTTCCGGTTTGGACCCTCGGACTGCCGCATACACTGCAGTTGGGATAAGCGGACCGACTGTTAATCAAACAAATACGTATCAGTATCAGTGTCGCACTAAGTTACTTCTCGGTTGGTCACTTATCATTAGTCATCAGTAACTACTTTTGCGTACGATTGTATTGTATTGCAATGCCTTACCCCAGCCGATGACGTAACAGATGACGAGGAGGCGCTTGTCACTTGTGAAGGCAAATACGACGAGCGCGTGGAGGTAGAACCCCTCACAGAACATCCAGAAATAGTTACACAGTGTCAGGTACTGAGTAAGAACATGCAGCGCCTGGCACCATGGCTACGGAGTATACACACACATTTTCAGTTACAGTTGAAGGTGCATGGTACATGAACAATACAACAACATGAATAATGTATCCCGCTTTTTTCCCACTGCAATGCATTTAAGTAAGGTCTCCAAAATGACATACTACAAGTCCGAAAAAATCCGTGTAGTGGAAGTGTGTCTAATTTACATAAATCCAAAATGGCCGCCAATTCTACTGTTTTCTCCTAGATTTAGTCAAAATGTTCACCTTACAAAAATGTACATACCTTTTAGAATCCTTTTAGTATACTTTGAATGTCTAAAATGTTATTTTCAAGAATGCTTTTGTTTGCACAAGATTTCATGTGCCTAATTGAGTGTCTTAATTTGCATAAATTCAAAATGGCTGCCAATTAAGGAAATTTTTGTGTAGAGAATTGATTATAATCATCATTCTTTGTTCTTAATAATGTTATATCAGAATAGTTGTGACAACACTTAATCATGTTGTACAATATTTTTTTTAATTTTCAAATATATCATAATTAGGTTCTTTAGTTTGCATAAACACATACATATCCACAATGCCTTCCAGAGCAACTATAATACATGTATATGTCTATATTGGTTTAAAATCTCAGTTGTTATTACAGTTGGTAGTCTCCAACAAACATAGTGCCACGACAATCAGAGCAGGCTGTTGAACATTGGAGGCCATACTTCCGGCACGTGCATTTATTGATGCACAGTCTTTCTTGCATCCACATCTGATGACTTTAAGGAGTGATGCTGGTGCTGGTGGTTTATCAGTTTGTATTGGAAGATACTTCCCATCCGTGACCTGCCAACCCAAGTCTCCCGGTGTCAGGTCGTCTGCCATTCCTTTCCATTCTAATATCTGATAGTACACACGCAGACTGCTGCTGAAGTTGGTGGCAAAGTCTTTGCTTCTAAGGCAGACGGGATTGATGATAACTTTACGCAATATCTTTTGTACCTCAAAGAATCTAGATCACCTGTTGAGTCACCACCATACAGGCATACAAGTGCCTTCTATCCAGCTGTAATAATGGTCTTCTTAAGGTCTGATGCTGGCTTACTAAACACCTTGGCAAGCTCACAGAGGTCGTTAATCTTCATGATTTTCTTCAGTGCTACGCCTTTCCCTAGTCCAAATATGCGAGACGTTGTGTCGCAGCCCGGAAGCGCATGGACAAAGAGAATGTCGCCACACATACTACTTCCTAGAGTTTCCTTCAGCTGTTTGATATTCCGTGTTCGATTCTTCTTGGAGTTTGCCATGGGCTCAGGTGCAAAAAGGACGTCCTTTGCATTCAGATCAGCGTAGAAGATCAGCAAGATGAGAAGGTCTGTGTCATCCCCGACAAGAACTGTCTTTAAACTTAGCTGCTTCTACTGCTGTAGTTACAATTAATATATCTGCATCTCCTCTTGCATGGGATACAGTGCAACCATCAATTTCGAGCTTGGAACTGAATAGGTTTATGAAGCGTTGCTTGTTAACTTAATGTTCTCTGCAAAGTTGGCAGTCAGGCCTTGTCAACCTGTCGTCTAAGATGTGTTGCGTCCTTGATGGATGGACCGCCTTGATAGCCATCAAAACAACTGTTGGCCTTCCATATATGCTGCTGACATAATTGACATATAGCTGGCATATGTTGTTGAAAGTGCTCCCACATGGCCAAGGAAAACGGTGAAGTAGAGCACCTCAATCCAAAACATAATGAACATAATTACCACTGGGTAGTGTCTGCTCTCGTGTCAGCTCATGTTCAAACACCTTCCAAAGTGCATCTGCTAGGACTGGTTTGTCGGCCTCTAGGGGGATACATGAAGATTCAAACAGGGCAGGCGGTGACTGCATTACTCGTAGATAAAAACTGATGCTAAAGTATCTTCACGTTCTCTACTGACAATGACAAGTCTCTGGAAAAGGAGCTGCTGGTCCACATGAACAGATTCACCGCCGATCTTTACAGCAGTCCTTGCACAGCTCTAAAAGTTGAAAAATATGACAAAACCTATGTGTAAATCTTAATATATCCGGGGCCATTTTGGATTTATGAATACTGCGATGCACAATTAAAAAAGATGTGCCTCTGTATATAATATATAAAACATAGTATATTCATATAAGTGTGAAATTTGTGCTTTTAAGTGCCACAACATCTACCTATGATAAGAAATGCAACTCGATCTCGGTGAAAAAGTTCGAAATAGCGGCCATATTTGATTTATGCAAATTAGGCACACTTCCACTTCTTGGATTTTTTCGGACTTTTCGGTAGCCATTTAGGGTAACTCACTGAAATGCATTGCAGTGGGGAAAAAAATATTGCAATTTGTTTAACGTTTACCTAAAAAATTCAATATCTTTCCTAGCCTATTTGTGTGTTATTTACGTCTTAATATTTACATGTCTCCCTGCTTCAGCTTAGTAAACTGGTTAGAGTAGAGTATAAACTAGCGTATATGCTGTGACAAAGGGCTCAGCGAGTTGATACTAGTTTCAAATATGGCGCCGTTCACGCTTCAGCGAGATATCAGTCAGATGACAACCATAGCTTGGTTCCTTTAACATCTAAATACATGGAACATATTGGGGATACATTGTGTCTAATTATACCAGGGAATACTGACAAACTTCTTATTTCTTGGTTGCACATTCAAATATCTTTGACGGTAACGTCAACAATGGCGGCTTCGTTTTGAAACACTCGACCGCGCCCCTCCATGAGCAGTGTGTCAATACGCGTACATGATGACCGTTGTAACTGAATTACAAATGTTTAAAGGGCTTCTCACATCACTTTATTTAATAAAATTTAAAAGATTTGAAAGGAAGAAAAACTAGTGTTGGTAACTGGATTTTTTTAAAGTTACTCGTATATCGATGTAGATTTACTAGAACTATATTATCCTAGCAAACGCGGCTACCAAAGCTACTTCGACTGTTTTTTTCTGCGTGTTGTAGCATGTAATAATGTTTTATATATGTAAATATCAGAATTGACCTTCATTTTGACGGCGTACGGTAGTATGAACGCAGTTTGCAACGAACATATCCTTTATGGAGTGCAAACGCGCACCATAGAATATGTACGTTGCTAACTGCTTTTATTCTACCGTATACGCCATCAAAATGTAGGACACTCCTCTTTTTACAGCGATGGAGCCAGGTTTTGGTGATGGAGGAAAATCGGGGCCAACGTGGGCCTCGATCCCGCAACCCAGTGTTCTAAAGGCAAGTGACCGTAGACGGTCATATCCCCTAACAACTCGGCCACCGCAGCCCGATATTGGGACAAACATAACTATTAAGGATGACGGAAGGTAAATCATAAACAACCTGAGTTCGATAATGCTATTATTACGTTTCTTTTTATCTACAAAAACACTATTTCATGCAATACGAAAAGTACGAAATGATGCTTCGTGGACAAGTTGCTCACGTAAGCGTAAATAATTATCTGTCACATGTTTTATTAACTGATTTTTTTAGTCCTAATCTGTTTGATAATTACACATACATGCAAGGGAGATGATAATCCAACTGAATCTTTTAATTCTTATTCTCTTCCAACGTATTATTTAGAATAGTGTGTAAAAGGTTGCTCCCGCTAAGTAGCTCCGTCGTAAACATAATTTCTGTTCAAGTTCGGTGTTCTATCTTGTTTTAAAACAAACAAGGAAACCTTGTCAATTTTTTTTCGTTACGACAACCTTTACTGTCCTAATCATCCGAGGAACTCAACAGAAAGTATTACGGTACAGAACAAAATATGGTATCAGTAATACTTGGTCTATATACTGCATTTTTTGGTCATTTATAATAAAAAATAATACAGCTTATGAATTATGCATAAAATACACCCGCTTACAAAGTTTCCTTGACCAAATATATTTTTACGGAAAAGGACAACAGGTGACAGACTGTATAGTGGTCAACAGAACTCAGGACAACAGGGGCAATTTTCATTGGGTTCATGCTTCAAGGACTGTTGAAGCAGGAGAAATCATATCTCTTTTCTCGCAAAGAAACATGGGCTTACTGCGATTACGGCTTTTAATAAGTGCTAGTGTCATTTAGACAGTGTCATTTCTGAGAAATTTCGATACTTTTTGGACGACTGTATGAAAAAACCCACTTGCATATATATGACTTATGATGAAATCAATATCCAAAAGAATACGCTGAAGGTTTTAAAGGCCGATATAAACTGGCTGATGCATAAAACACTCATGAAAGCGTGTTCGACAATCTTATAGAAGGCGGAACACTATTTCGATAAGTTGGTTTTGCTCTCATACCGGAACACCTTTTCCCATTTTTATCTTTACAAAATATTGAATGAGTGATATGGCTGTCACCTGAACCAGTTAGTAAGGATGATTTAAATACCTGGTTGTCTTTGACCATGCCGGGCATATCCATCAGAGCGAACATGAGGATCCAGGCAGCGCCGGACAGGACGTATGTGATAAAAAGATGTTTGTGTAGCGTCACCCGGCTACAGTGGAGCTGTCTGCAATGGATCAATCTACATGACACAATGGTAGAGTATGAACTAAATATCGACAGCAGGGCACGAAGATAAATGTTACCGAGGAGATGCAACTACATTCTGTGTGCGAGGTCACTAGGGGACCATGTTAAATGTTACAAGGGAGATAACTATGACACAAATATTCAAATGAAATGGTGTGTTTCTCTGTGTGTGAAGCCGCCAAGAGAAATACTTTAATCATACCAACGAGAAGCCATACATGGGAGACCACGTTTTTTTATGATTGTGATAATGACAGGTACTGCATGGATTTGGCAGGTGAGGATATTCACCCAGTCAACAGCATCTAAACACAGGTAAATGGCTCCCGCTGGCCGTGAGTGGAGGCTGTAAGGTTTCAAAGTTAAAACTCCTAGGCCTGAGTTATATTGTATAAGGTGGAATCGTTTCGTTTGCGTTATTTTCTATACATAAATGATTCCTAGAATCATGCTATAATCACGGAGTTTGTCTAAAATGGACTGTTTATCGTAACACGTTTATCGCTGATCGTCAGTGACATCGATTGTGCATTGCCTGTGCAACGTTGCTGCATCGTTCGGAACTATTGACTTTTAAAATTCTGTATAAAAACTGTTTGAAGAAATGTGGAAAGTTTCATCAAAGCAATTTACTTTTCTTGGTGAATATTGCTCCACAAATATTTCCTCTTATCACATATGTATTCGGTTTCACCACTAACATTTTCTTTACTTTTGAAAACTTCGAACGTAATCCATTGTTTTTATTAACAACTACTCCTTTTTATCGTCACCACATCTCTCATTTTCTTTACCTAAGGTAAATAAATCATCAGTATCCTCTCCCGTACCAAACTCATACATTATATTTAAGGAGGGCTAAGCATAAGACGATGAAAGCGGCGAGTGAAAGAATAATGATGACTTTCTGCCATAAGTAGATGAGGATGAGAAAACAGCGAAGGATTCAGTAATGAGAAATACACACCGGAAGTTCGTGAAAATGAGAGAGTGTCGAGTTGTTAAAGTTGTAGAGGTACTATCCGGATGGTTGAGAAGATGAGATTTGCAGTGAGTGGATAAATGATGATGGCGTACTTACCGGAAGCAGGAGAAGATGAGGAGAGATGCGATGGAGAGGATGATGGAGAGAGCGTATCCACTGTAGTATATACTGATGACTCTCTGTAGCGTCTGTAATGTAAAGCAATGGAGTATGAGGTACACAATGAAGCAATTTATCATTGATACCATGATAGGAAATTATTTTATCTAACGATTTTAACAGTTCTCGAGATTAGCAATCAAAAAGTTGCCATTTGATTTTACTGCCAAACAGGATTTTCCGTTTCTTATTTTCTTCACATTGCATTTACAAACATGACACAGTTGATTAGAATGTTTCCAAGATAAGAACATCGTCAATGAGAAAATATAAAGAACAGGTAATGTTGTCTTTATATACTCAGTCCTTTTATGTAAAACGTTGTCAATTATCATTCCTCCATTTATCGTGGTGTGAAAACACATACATTTCTCATAACCAGAATCGACTGCACGATGTTTTGGAAGAAGAAATATATCAGTTTAATGGATTAAATGGATTTAAAGGCTGTAAATATATATTCGACAGGTGCATGGAAATCTGGTGATGCGTTGCCGGGATGAAGCAGACAATATGGGTTATTAGGGCTCTATTTCTGTTATACTATAACGTTTATGTTTATACTAGTATCTCCAAAAGAAAACTAACGTCTATCCTTAAATAAACCTGGTATTTAGTGCAATTACGTGAAAGTACATTATGTCATAGGAAACCTTCGTGTTATTTGTTTCAAGGGGATGAAAGATCCGAATCAAGGAGAAATGAAGATAAATGAGGTAGACAAGATAGATGACGGACGTTTTAGGAAATGTTAATAATGGCCTTCACCTTAACCAGAGATAGAAAGAAGTGACAGGATTTGTGATAGCACATGGAGAAGGAGGGAATAGTTACCTCCTTGTTGCTGGCGCATGGTGTATAGTTTGTCCATGTCCGCCCAGTATCAGGATGGGTCAGCCACGTCCCGTCAACACGACAATCCTTGAACGCTTGACCTTTCAAAGCACAAAATAATTTGAACGTTATTCTTAATTTTATCAAGTCTTTTTGTAAAATACCTTTGTGAAGTTCTTAATTCATAACGACTTGGTAACTAAAAATTATCATAGAGATAACAAAACAAAAACCAGGGTCAACAAATGTTCGGGAAACGTCCTACTGCAAGCGACCTCAAACTGCCGCTGTGAGAGAAGCACATAGTTTTCTACTAAACCAAGTGAAAATCTACAATGTATGAATTCCATGTATGTTAAAGAACGGATACTTGCTGTTTGTTCTATTCTATTCTATTCCTGGTACATTATCAAAACTTAGATTGTAATGATCGCTTATATATTGCCAACTTTAAAATATATACTACAAAACAATGCATATTAGACCATGGATAACATTAAAGTCACGGTTGGTTGGGTATTGTATGTTCAAATATATTTTTAACTCATTTCAAGCAAACGGACGACGACTCCGGTGATTTGACCATAAGAGAAGCAAGGAGAGTAAAGCGTCTGTATAATCAATTATACCAGCGAGGAGTGGGCAAAGCGTCTGCATAATCAATTATACACACTCCACCCACGATGACCCGTGAAGAGTACTTCTAATCATAACATAATAATCCGAACGCGACAGAAATCCAAACGATTCCAAGACTTTTTGTTCAAAATGATGTTTTTAAATCACAAACAGCCATAAAGTCGTATTGAGTTGAAGCCATTTATTGCTAAATAATTGATAAATATGACACACACGATATAAACCTTGAAAACAACTGCACAAAAGAACCTTAAATATGACTTAACATTACTCTTCATCAACATATATTTGCACTACACGAACAGATATAATGGATAAGGCAAAAATATTCCATTTATTTACCAAAACGACATAAGCTGAAACTCCTTCATTATTCCCACACACGCATATAATTTATTGAAAAAAATATCGGCATTACGTAAGATTTCATATTCATCGATTTAATTTTTAAATGTAATCACTTTTGTACCGATTTATCGACATTGCACACATACTAATTCTGTGATAATGTATCAACAAATGCAATTTTCCTCGAAATCAACATTTCATACCCTGTCTCCTGCACACACACAAGCAAGCACGCATACACTACACACATGAAGGCACGTCCTAAATGACCTAAGCTGTTTATAGGACGTTAAACTAAATTAAACTTAAACCAATCATTCTTTCAAATACAATAATTCCTCGATAATTTATCAACATTTCAAACGCAATAATTCCGTGATAACCTGTTATAACCACATAACCAATAATTAATAATTCCATAATACGTTATCAGCATTGCAAGCGCAATAAACATTACACATACATTATTAAACAATTCCTAACAAAATAATTTTCCGATTCTTTTTTCAGATTACAATTTACCTATTCCAGTGAATATTGTTTTTCAACCCTAACTCAATTTGGCTATTTGGCTGTCATTGGCGGTATAACTTTTCTTGTTCGAGTGGCTTCCCCTTATGCACGAACACTCATCTGATACCGGTGGTGGATTCAAACGGTTATGCAGACCCTCGGTAGATAGCAAAACAAATGTTTCGTAGAAAATTTTGATGTAGTACAACCAGAACATGTTACGTGTGACGTTTCGATGACTAGTACGGTATACATAAACACATCCTGTTTGTACTATACATACGTGTAAAACCTTTCAATAATTTATACTTGCCAACATGAAAAAAAATGTGTAGGAAAAAAAGAATTTTATCAACCTGCGCAAGTATACGGTCCATGTGGGCGTAATCTGGGTAGAGTAAATTGAAAGTTGGGGCAAAGGATGAAAGCCGGATTTGTGTGTGGGTTGGGGAAGAGGGTAAAATTGCAATGTACCAACTTGTATACCCTCTAAGCGTCGAAGAATCGTAATTAACGCAAACTATGATGTTGCAACTAACGAAAAAATAAAAAAATCCAATACACAACCGCATTAACAACGACATGTAAAAACTGCATATGGAAAATTAGAAATGTTACTTTAAAATATGGGAAGAGCGAAATTGTCACGATTATATAAAAACTGTAAATATATCAAAATATATATTAAAATATGTAAAACAGTAGATAGTAAAGAAAATATGAACGTAGGCCGTACTTGTGTTAGGAATTATTTACCTGTAGGTAGGCCGTATTTGTGCCGGATGATTTATTTACCTGTAGGTAGGCAGGTGTCAGAAGAATTATTTATCTGTAGGTAGATAATACTCGTGCAGGAGGATCTAATTACCTGTAGGTAGATTATACTTGTGGCGTAGGATATATTTACCTGTAGGTTGACCGTACTTGTGGCGAAGGAAAGTTGGACAATCGTGATAGATGCGAGTTCCTGCAGACGTGTAATTCCAACAATCCCAGCCATCAAATGTAGCGTTACAGTATAGCCCACCTGTAGCAAAAATCATTCAGTGCGTATTAGTAGAGCTAGCAAGACATTCTAGGAAGTAAACCTACTTTACTGACTATTCATTTTCAGGTGTTATAATTAATTTGAGGTCAGCCCATCTTTTGATAAGTGTCGGTGCTGATCACTGATCAGAGAGTAGATCGGTACATGTAATAGGGCAAGTATCAATGTACAGATTGAAAACACACTATTTTTATTGCTACGATCTGTATTGCACTTTGTCTTCCTTCATCACAACCTAGTTCGTAGGTCGTCTCAAAGCAGTTAGCAAATTATTATCCGTGGTTATAGGGCCTTTGCAACCAGCCAATATATTTCTCAACTCTCTGGGGAGCATACAACCGGTGCTGCCATTTCGACGCTCACAGCTAACATTCAACAATTCCAGCACTGACGTGATTCGAACCCACAACACTTCGATCACGAGCCCGGCGTTCTACCACTAGGTTACCGTGCCTCCTAAAAATGAACAATCATAAAATGGGCAACAGAAACAGATTAACCTTCAGTCGAAATCAACCTTTACTATAAACGAGGTAAAAGATTTAAAGCTAAACAATGCATCTGAAACCATTTTCATATTGAAGTCTTAAAAGTGACAGAAAGATATCAAATCTTTTGTTCATGCCGAAAGACATTTCTTGTGCTCAGATGTCCGAATTTTTGTCAGCTGAACAATACTAGTCTGGCAGTTTAAATCTGGCAAAATATATCTACCAAGATATATAACAATATATATATATACCCTAAGATATTTACTGTTTATCTTAATCCGTCACTAATTAATTTTCGTGTACATTATAAATACAAATATCCAATTTCGATATTTGCTCATTTAACTAAACATCACATGCATCTACATGTTTTGCCCTTCAGATATATCTACCGTTCTAATTTATCAGATATAGTTCCCTGCGTAACGTTCAGCATTAAGGGGATTGGCAACAACTGGTTCATCCGTTGTCAGTATAATGTGTCTGGGTGGAATGCTGTGATTGGTGCCTTCGGCGTGGCATTTCAGTGAGATAGCACTATACAATCAGCATCAGATCCGCGCTATCACAAAGAGGCAAGCACACCAACATACAAAATGTACCCTTTCTCCTGCATACACACACGCAAGCACGCATTCACTACCCACATGGAGACACGTCCTTAAATGACCTTAGCTGTTAATAAGGGTGGTCGGATGGTGCTGTGGATAGCGCACTTGCCTTTTAACAAGGCGGCCGGGGTTAGATTTCCCGGTCGGACTTGAAAAGGTTGGGGTCACCTGCCCGACTACGTGGGTTTTCTCCGGGTACTCCGGTTTTCTCCCACACCAAGACCGTCCTCGCGAAAACATCCGGGCCAACAAGTGTGGTTAATATAGGTTGAAATAATTTGTTTCATAATTTTTGTAAAATAAATAAAGTTGATATTATATAATTTAACGTTAAACAAAATAAAACCAAACCAAACTTTTTTATACGCCATTTACCTCTTAACAACATATCTATCTGTATGGTATATCTCTATGTTTATTTAACAGTCTAGCAGTACCACATTTACTTCCGTTCAATAGGTTTGTACTATTAAGCTAGTTTTAAACCTTTTTTTACAATAACAATAAATACAAATCTCCATTGAGATGTTTCTTTTTTACCTGAACTAAACAAGTTAGTCATTTAAATATGTTGGTTTTGCCGTTACGAATAAATTCACTATTGTAATGTTGTTCGTATAGTGTAAACATTACAAATCCAGAAGTCCAGCAAAGTAAACAAATCATCATACTTCAGATACGAAAGTTTCCCAATCATTTATACAGCTACGAAAGTTCCCCAATCATTTCTTTATATATAAAAGTACCCGTATCATTTTTTCAGTTAAAAAAGGACCCGAATAATTTCTTCCAGTCATTTATACCCGTTGTGTCGAAGCTTTTCATCTGTAAGACAATAATACAAATGCAAATTAAGTTTCCCTTAAAATAACTTATCCTCCATCTTTCAATTCTACATTTCACTATATCTTTGGTCAAACTGGAACCGTTGTGACTTGCAGTCTTAAGGTAATTTGGTTTGGTTTGGTTTTATTTTGTTTAACGTCCTATTAACAGCTAAGGTCATTTAAGGACGGCCTCCCCTGTGTGCAAGATGCATGCGTGTAGTGTATGTGTGTTTATTTTTGGAGGCTGCGATATGTTCGTGTTTGTCTCCTTGTAATAGCGCGGAACTGATGCCGACTTTATAGTGCTTACTCACCGTAACATGCTGCCGAAGACACCCAGCAGGACGCCCCACCCGATAACATTATACTGACAACGGGCGAACCAGTCGTCCCACTCCTAATTTGCTGAACGTTAATCAGTAGTAGAAACTACCAATGTTTAAAGTAAAGCGAACAACCAAGCATAAATGTGTTCCGAAGATTTATGATTACATCAAAAATTAGTATTATATATCTGCTATCCATAGAAGGAATAAAATTCTTCAGTGTTAGAGTCACCTGCCCCTGATTACCATGTCGACAATGTTGTTATCTTCCCTTGAATAGATTTCGTTTGAATAACGTTTCGACTACAGAGTTGTGTCCCTTGCGTTGAAAATCTCCAATCGCGAAAGTGTGGATAAAAAAGCTGTCGTAACGATGTAAACAACGTCGTGGAGGTGATGGCCGACATGCAAACCCGACATAAAATCGGCCGTTTTAAATGTAAACTAAACGCATTAACTGACAATAATAACAACAACGATGTCCAATATCAACTGCTAGACCACGACTATGCGACGAAACAAGGTGACACTCGTTCACACATTGAAGAGACGCTGGCTACGGAGGCCCCTACTAAGCTTACTGGCAATTTTACTGATGAGCCGACACCGACGTCCGATGATGATCCCTCCAGTACTAGTGATCATGAATACGTCAATAACTGTTTAACCTGGTCGCAGGGTAGGCGAGTGGTTGAACTTGCGATGTTATATATGAATACCTGGACCAGACAGGTTGTAAGGAATGCGGTACTAGGCTACGGTTGTGCAATACCCGACAGGAAAGACATTTTGACCTGGGAAGTATTTTATGCATCACAATAGTCAGGATTATATTCTATATTTGTTAGTACATGTATGTGCCCAAATAGGCCTATATTTCAAGGTTATTTATTATGTTACATACAACAGTGTTATTTTTACAATGTGATATTTTTATACCACAATATAGTATGTTGTTATTTATACCGAATGTAAAAGTTTATTATTGTTGTATAGTGTGATATTTGGTAAACCACAATATATGTTGTTATCTGTATATATTGACAAAGTTTATTATTGCTATATAGTGTGATATTTTTTATGTCACAATATGGTATGTTGTTATCTGTACATAATGTGAAAGTTTATTATTGTTTTGTTCAGAATGTAAAAGTTTATAATTGTTGTGTAAAGTATGTGAAATTTTGTTATTGTTGTTCATTGTGACATTTTTGCTATGACACAGTAAATTACATTGTTTGTTATAATGTTATTCATACAGAATGTGCAATCTTGTTTTATATTGGTTATTTGAATTAATTTTAATGGTTGGTAATGCCTACTGTATTATTCGTATATATGACTTTTTGGGATTTAGAATTATTATTGGTACAAATGTAAGAGTTGTTTCTCTTTTTTGTTTAGTTTTTTTTATCTTTATATTTTTTTTGTTTAATAAATATGTCCGCAAGATATTTATTTTTTGTCACCTATATTTTCTTTTCATTGTCCTAAACATGTTGCATTGGCACTCGGAAATTTATTGATTCATGTGACGGGCATTTTTGTTTGTTTTAGTATTATTGTTAGAAAATTACTCAGTTTCTGTGTGTTTTGTTCATCAATATTGACATTGTTATTATTTTTTATGTGTTTTATTTCTAATAAACCATTTTTGCATCAAATAAAATGTATTTTGTTTCATTTTGTTCCATTGAAAATTTCATAATATCCCAAAAAATCTGAAGAAACTACCGCAAGGTATGGGTTATTCTTCTGAAATGATTTGGTTATGCAATAGCGATGCGCGTAGAAAAAAACCCAATGCCTCATAACATTTTTAGGCGGAGGGACGAGGATCCTTAAAGAATAAATAACAAAAATACCTGGTGTATACCTCATGCAATATTTTATTGTCCATTTATACAGTATATGCTAATTTCAACCGGTAAAAAGCAATAGTTGAATGACATTCTGATTTTTATTTTTGAAAAGGGAGGTAACTCTTAGAACAGTATATTGTATACAATAGTAAATACCCCGGTAACATGTACAGTGTAGCATCTCAATCAAATATAATGTCAATAAATATAAAACAAATAACAAATAACATTTGTAAATTGTAATAGTAATATTTACACTATGGAGTAACAACATAATTAGGTACAGAAAAATAAAAAAATAAAATTGTAAATTGTAATGAAATATGTATAATATGGAGTAACAATATAAATAGATATCGAAAAATAACAAATAAGATTTGTAAACTCCAAATAAAACAATAAACAGTTTTCTAACAAAATAAATAAATATAAACATATATATATGCATACTCACATACAAACAGAAAAAGATGTAAAACAAATACAAACAGACCAACAACATACAATGCATATATTTACAGTTTTAGTAATATTGAGACACATATTTTGAACAAATAACAATTGTAACAGTAACATGGGGAAAAAAATGTCAATATGTACAAATTATAAATGAAATTTATAACAAAAAGTGAAAAGTGGTAAAATTCACATAAAAATTGTCCAAATGGAAACAAAATTGCAAGCACTGAACTCACCAATCAAGTTCTGTAAGATGTGTAAAAACTCCAACAAAATAGAACCTAGCTATGATCAGTTGAACAGTTTCAAGTCCCAAGACAAATGTAAAATGTATACCTAATTTCATTTTGTATCACTTTGCTGAATATGTTGTCACATCTTGTATTAAAACTCAATGTCTTTG